CATTAATCTAATCAGTTTTCAGCCTTCATTCATATTGAAAAGTTGAAATCTTCCCTGCTAGACCCAAGTGCAGCGTTTAACACCGTCGGCCAGAACATTTTATTACAGCTATTATTAAATGGAGAGTCCTCTTCACACACTGAGGTTAATTATGAAGCTCCACAGGCTTCTGTGCAAAGACCAGTTCTGTTTACATTATACGTGCTTTAGAAGACATAGCATACCACAGGTCAGCTCAGCAACATTTCGACTTTGGCTTGTTTTTTCTGGTTAACGTTAATTACGTAATTTAGAATTAAAGTTTAGTGTTTTTAGCATTTAGGATGGCCGTGGCGAGTAACTCGAGTGCTGTAAACATTTCATCAAAAGTTATCTGAGTTGGAAGGGTGTCTGTTAATAAGCCATTCTTAAGGAAGGAGAACAGAGAAAAATAAGGCTGAGGTGTGCCAAATTACACAAGAAATTGACTGGAAAAAGAAATCAGCTGTAATATGTCTTATGGAGTAATGAATCCAAATTTGAAATATGCACGGAAGAGGTCCGAAGAGAGATACAACAGTGAATGTCTATAGCCGTCTTTAACACAGCGTGGATACTCTACCGTGCTTTGAGGCTGGATTTCAGCCAGTGTTGTTGGAGCTCTTATCCAAATTAATCAAATTATGAATGTAGAAAAGTTCCACCAGATTTTGATCGACCATGTATTACCACGTAGTGTCTGATTGGCTTCAACTTCATTTTTCAGTACGACAATGATCGCAAACATACTGCCGATGTAGTCAAAGTATGCCTGGATGAAACAACGCATCAGTCATGGATTGATCTCTCCAGGGTTCGAACCTCAAGATAATCGAAGCAGTGTGGGATCATCTTGACAGAAAACAAAACAAAAGGCAGCCAGCATCCGAAGAAGAGTCTCGGATGTCTTTCAAGAAGCCTGCAGAACTAAGAAATTACAAGAAAGCTTACCTATTAGAGTTTAAGCTGTGTTGAAGAATGAAAGGCAGCTTTAACTGGACAAAAGGGGGAAAAAAATCCCACATTGACAGCTAACTCAAGAGACAAAAAGCATTAGAACTCAAGTCATTACCTTACTTAAGGATAAATAAGTTAATTAATTACATTAATGCATAAGCAGAAAATAACCTACAGTAACTGCTTTGCGATATGGAAGTGCAAAAGACAACTGAAAGGGAGGATAGTTTCTATATATGTGGTTTCTATTAAGGGACAGAGGAACGATAAGAAATCAAGGACAAGGAGTGTGGTGTAGATAAGTGAGGAAATCCGATCATTACTACAAATTTAGTTGAAATTTAAATATTTTAACTATGGTGCCTCCTGTGAGGGCTGTCTGTTTTCCACATTCTGCAACGGTAAAATACGACTTAGAGGCGGATATTTGTTTTACTTTATGGGCAACAGTTGTTCTTGCTGTTGACAAAACTCGCCTCATGGTTGACTCTGAGAAAAAAACTCTTTCCCACAGAGGGGAATAAACTTATTCGAATATGAGCTTTTTTCCACTAAGACTTGTTTTATGGGGAGATGTACGAAATTATTTACCGGGTTACAAGCAATGATAATATCGGATGTTGACTCCTCAGCGTCATCATTTTCTATCTATTGAGAAACCCCATTGTAAAAGTAATGAAGAAAAAAACTATTCTGCCGTCTCACTCCTCCTTGACCCGCGGGGTGGGTGTGTGTGTGTGTGTGTGTGTGTGTGTGTGTGTGTGTGTGTGTGTGTTCGGCGGCGTTGTTTGAACGGAATGCTGACATAATATTCACGGATTCTTCCTCGCGATTGGTAGAACTGTCACAGATATCGACTCCCCTCCCGTTTCTTCTCTCATTTTATCCTAGTCTAGCGAAGCATCTGTTTTTCGCATCTTTGTCTTGACAATACCAATAGTTAGAGAGGGTTGTTTTTTTTTTTTTTTTTTTTTTTTTTTTTTTTTTTTTTACAGCGTCTGTATTATAGGAAAATAAAATACTATTGAAATCTCTACAGGAAGTCACTCTTTATTTCCATTACAAACGCCGGTGCAGCTTAAGAAAGTAAAATTACATCCGCTCTGTCTCTCTATACATCACAGAATCATCTGCTGCATCACCGCTGTGCTTAGGGAACATGACGCAACAGGTCTGAAAATGACTAGACACTTCCGGAGTATTTCCGGTAGGGTCATAAGGTCCGGATCGATGCCTTCCATAGTAAATATGCTGTATTTGAATATGTCATATTCAAAACCTTCTTCTTTGGGAGAGCAGATCTCATCGGACACAGGACCGCTGCGGGGCTGCAGAAGGAAAGAATCCATCTTGTGTCTGTGCCTTAGAAATTGTGACGGACTCCTCTCTCTGCTTTTTTATTCCCCTCCAACAGATGGCGCGCTTCCGGAGGTTTCCCCCTCCCTCTAAAAACTTTTTTTCCCAACAACAGATGACGCGCTTCCGGAGGTTTCCCCCCTCCCTCTAAAAACTTTTTTTTTCCCCCAACAACAGATGACGCGCTTCCGGGGGTTCACCCCTCCTTTTTCAGGGTGCAATTCGATACGGTTAGCAACAGATGGCGCGCTTCCGGGGTTCGCCCCTCTTTCTCGGGATACGATTCGTCACGCGGGGGGTTTCCCACCCCCCTTTCTCCGGATACGATTCGTCACGCTGGGGGTTTCCCACGGAGGGGAGGGGCGGGAGGTCAAAAGGTCGTGATTAGGGCCATCAATCACTTCGGATCAAATTTTGTCATAAGCTGTATGGGATTAACTCTCTTATGCTAAATTTATGGAAAAAAGGCCATTATAAACAATATAATTATATTTCTTGAATTGTAATTGTTTGATACTGATTGGACTTTCATAACAGAACTGTACCGTTCAAGTTTATAAGAACCAAGTAGCCACAACCGCTTTATTTCCCCATAAATGTCACATTTTGCGCAGTTACAAATCCTTTATTGACATAAATCACTAAGAATTTTTATTACCTAAATTAATATATGTTAATATGTAATGGTATACACTGTAGCAGTATTTTCCTAATCAGAAAAACGCTTCTAAGTAAATAAGTAAATTAAACATCAACAAACACACACACTCACACAATGTACTATTTGTGTTTATGTGTTTAATATACTTGTGTAATGTGATCAAAACATTTTTGTTTTGTTTTGATCACATTAGCTAATATGATCAAAATATTATATTATCAAAATATAATTATTACAACTTGCCAGTAGACCTGTTCATGTCTGTGATTGGTTATATGCTGCCAACACCAGATCATACATGTGGAAGCACAAGCTAGATTTGGAAACCTCAGGTTTAGCTTCAGAACAGAAAACTGATCATACACTACGAAGGTTCGCCGTTTTCTGATCTCTTTGTGAGTTAAACACAGCCTAAACAAGTGCAACACTGGAACCTAAATAACTGCAACAAACTGACAAGTTGTGCTGCCTACACAAGGATCCAGGTTTCAGTACTGCAGTCATTATTCCATCAAGACTGAAGAGCTCAACTGTGCTCTTGCTTCGGCCTCACACCAGGAGTGAAGCTTTTCACTTTATAATATCACTCAGGGAACATTATAGGACAAGATCTTACGCAGTTAAGAAGTATACAATTAGAGAAAGTCACAAAAACAATTCAGATTATGTCCTTTCACAAATACATGATATACGTTACATAGGTCAACAAATGAAAAGAGAAACAAGTTCAATTTATTGTTTCTCTTACAATTTTCTGAAGCTCATCATTTACTCCTGTCATTTACTCCTTTCTCTATTCTTGCAGCAAATCCAGCTTCTTGACTATGTAAGTTTTGGTTTTTTTTAACATGTGAAATGTAATGTCAACCATTTCCTGGAGTGGTGGAGAATCATATGATAATAGCATTGCTTCTACCAATTGAGGAAAAAGTTCCTTCATTTCTTCATTGAATTGTTTTGAGGCCATTGTCACTCTGTACTTGGATTCTTCCTAAAGGAGAAAAATAAAACTTTTCACATATAGTATTTCTACTCATATTATAGACTTTCTGGGAATAAACTTGAGACTGACTGACCCACCTTCAGTCTCTCTTCCTGTTCTATCGCTGTTTGAAGGGTTTCCTTGAATATTTCCTGAAAGGAAAGGAACAGAACATAGTGCATGTGTTACAGAATATAAACAACAGAAAAGGAACATAAATCAAACAGGAAGGTAATATTTATGTTACAATATATATATATTCAATATTAAGAAATTGGTAGATTTTAATTTACCAGTTTTTCCTTGTTATCCAGTGAACTTGCGAGATCAAATATTTTTGTGATTTCAGCTGTTCTATACACGCCATCTTCCTAATGGAAAGAAAAATAGTACAATTAAATTTACCCGACTATACTGAGTAGTGTAGTAAGTACAGAGAAATACCGTACTTGTATGACTTTTGCATAATCTGATATTACTGTGTTGTTGTCGTTGCAACATATATTTGTCCAGGACCAACATTGCAACTGACCAATGGCATTGTCTGAGCATTCAGTTAACAGTAGCCAAGAAGGTAATGGTAAGGGTAAAGGTAGGTAAAAATAAAAATTATCACAAGCAAAAAATAACCCCACAAATAACCTAAATTTGATGGCTTCATAATATGTTTATTAATAATTAATAAAGAAAATACTTTTAATAATGTTTTTTTTTTCTGTCAACACACATAACAGACTTTTAAAGCCTTGTGAGAAACTTGCAAACTGACCCACCTTGTGTTTGTCAACTTCTTCGCTTACTCTTTTCAGTATTTGCTGAAACTTGAGAGAACAATAGTGGCTTTTATAACCCATTATAAAAAGGGAGCAATTCCAACATTTAATGAGCTTTTAATTGGTGGAAGAATTTACATGTATGTGCAAATAATCCTGTAATTACTACCACATCAAGAGATTGACAAAGGAGGAATTTACCACTTGGTCCTTGGCCCAGATTGCCATGAAAATAAGGCACAGAAGAGATAAGATGAACAGAATTATAAAGACAAACAAGCACTTGATGAATCTGAAGCAAGTTCGCCCTCTTGTTCTGGTAGCTGCTTCTGCCATCACTGTTAGAATTAAAAGAATCCATTAGGTTAAGACACCATGTCAATAACATTAATAAGAAACTGACACACACACATACGGCAACAAATTTTAATGTTACACTTTGCAAACATCATATTTCATCAGAATCAGAATCAGAAATCAGAATCAGAAAGGGGGTTTATTGCCAAATGTTGAGCAGGTTTACAACATTAGGAAATTGCTGCGGTGCTTCAGTGCAAACATAGTGTCATAAATTGCGCTTAAATAGACATGAAAAAATAAAAGTAAGAATAAGAATTAAAAGTGCTACGTAGAAAGATATGTGCATGAGATATACATGAGATATATACATGAGAATAAGAATTAAGAGTGCTACGTAGAAAGATATATACATGAGTGCAGGTGGTGATCAGTACCAAACATGGAATGATGCAGTGACACAGCGTAGGGTCATGTGTTAGTGGCTACTGATCTTACCTGTTTGGGAATGGACGACGATCTGATGTTCTGTGCTGGTAAAGAATGAAAACACAATGAGGTGGCGTGTTTGAAAGGTTCTCTATACTCTGTTGTCCTTTCACTTTCTTTCATCTCACGTGCATTAGCTGCAGTTTTACTTTCATTTTGACTGAACTAACCTTTTTCTGGTCCACTTTATAGGAATAGAGACCCATTAGTTATTGGTCCCAGATTTTCAGCAGCTTGCAAACAATAAGTTTTATAACATTTTAGTTTTAGTAAATAATATATGTACATTAGTAGATAGTTTGTCTACTTAGATGATGAGTTTTTATAGTAGTAAAATTATTAATTTCTAAATCAAAAACAACAAAACAGCCTACAAAACAATAACTATTAAGATCATATAAAACTTTATGTATTATTACATATTTGTTCATGAATTTTGCTCATTCTATTTTCCAGGGTGTCACTGATGAGTTACAAGTCAAATAAGATCTGTTGTTTTGGTAGCTGCTTCTGCCATCACTGTTAGGATTGAAAGAATCTATTAGGTTAAGAAAACACCATGTCAATAACATAAATAAGAAACTGACACATACACACACTGGAACAAATTTTAATGTTACACTTTGCAAGCATCATATTTTATGTTACTGATCTTACCTGCTTTGCGACGATCTGATGTGTTGTACTAGTCAGAAGTGGTTAGCGGACCCAGACTCGGACCCCTCGGTACAGTAGATCAGTGCTATTGTTTACTGTGAAGAAATGAGTAAACAACAATCCACAGTGCAAATCTTGCTTCGTGGCACTCCCTTTTCCCGTGGTGTGTGGCAATGCGTCAGTGTACAATAAATTCCCCAAACTCCGTGAATCTCTCCTCCAGTCTCTCCGTCTCGCCCTTCCTCCTGAAGACAGCAAACACAAACACAGTTAGCTCAGCTCGGCTCGCTAGCAATTACCCAACAATACGCTTGTAGTGATGGGAATTCCAGCTCTTTTTAGAGAACCGGCTCTTTCGGCTCGCCTATCCAAAAAAAGAAAACCCTAACCTGGCTCTTTCGACTTTGTTGCTTTAATTAATTTATTATCAACAGCAATATAAAATTGTGCAGACAATGAATTACTAATGTAAAAAAAGTTTTTTATTTATTTATGTTTATTATATACTTTTACTCATTCACTCCACATAAAATGTATAAAATAAATTATAAAGTACAAAAAACACAAAATACACATAAAATACAAAAAACAACTATTTACATTTCTACTTTTAACTATTTTAACTAATTTAATTCAGCCTTTTCCTTTTAAGCAAATTTCAAGGAAAACAACACAAAACACTGCAAACCACAACACAATAAAATATAAATCAATATGCAAAACAAAAAAGAAGATGCACGTTCTCTGTGATTTTTGGGAGAGTGTTTTCCTGCTTGTAATTGCATACATAGGATTCAGTGCATGAATAAACTTTCTGAATCCTTTAACACCCACAGCTGAAATAGTTTGAAATCAAGTGCAATCATCTTTGCCAGGTCTTCATCAATTGAGTTCTGTCTTGCTGGGGTCACAGACCTCTGCAAAAACTAATAGAGCTCTGGTTTGGTATAGGTGGTGGTGGTGATATAGCGCAAGATGCTGTAGATGCAGCAGCAGCAACAGTTGCAATAGGCATCTTTATTACTATCAAACTCAACTGACTGCGTTTTATCTTCCCCATGCACTGATGGGTGGACAGTTCTCAGGTGCCTGTGCAGGCTGTTTGTGGAGCCGGCTCTATATGATAACCTTTTCTTGCAGACTGTACATTCTGCCTATGTATTGTCAATAAAATTGAAATGGTTCCAGATTTTGCTTCTTTTCTTGGTGTCAATCATTTTCTTTACTATAACTTTCTAATGTGATGATGTTGTCTCTTGTTGTTGTCCCTGGCTCTCTTTCTCTCCCTCTCCCTCCTGCTCTGTTTCTGTGGTACTGCGAGTGGGCAAACATAAGGCTGTGTTTGCGACCCTCTGCTCAGCGCAAACACAAGACTCACGTGCGGTGTGAAGCAAAAAAAAGTAAGAAAGAGAGAGGGTGAGAGAAAGAAAAAAAAGAAACACGGAGCCGGCTCCCGTTGTTCACTTCAAAATCTGTCCCTAAGAGCCGTTTTGTTTGCGACAGACACATAACTATATGCTTGAGTCACTACCAGGCTTGGTGCGATACTCCAGCGCTGACCATCACTCAACCCTGGCTTAAGTAGTCTTATTAGAGTCTAATTAGAAACAGCTGAAGTGCCCGAATCAGCTGTCGGAGGGACAGCTCTCACGAGGAGGAGCTTCCGGGTCGGAGGTCACTCAGCAGAGTGTTGCTCAGAAAGAGCAACCTCTGCAAACCACAAGAGGAGACTGCTACACATGTGCGAAAGGCATCTACTTCCGCTCGAAGCATTTTACGATAGTTACGGGTCAGATTATCTGGTAAGACATTAACAGTATCTCTTAAAACGTTTGCAATAATGAAACATTTCAATATAATGTAGACAAAAAGGGGGAAAAAAAGATAGTTACGGATTAGGTCTACTCGTACTATCCGTACCGCGCATGTGCAGATGTTCTCTTCTTCTTCTGTTTTGTTTAATGGCAGTTAAACAAAACAGAAAACTCCCCAGTGTACGAGGATACCGCCACTTGCTGACTGAGCGAATTAGCCCTATTGTAAACTGAATTACAAATCGTGTTTGTATATGCGTGTTATATTTGATTAATGATAGTCGAGTGTGTTTATGCTTCTCTGTGTGGAAAGGATTGATTGGAATTGTGATGATGATGTCCACTATCCCTGTCAATTTTCAGTAAACACTTAATCTGGCTGATGAATCTTCACGTTATTTGGAGCTGTGTTTCTGATTTTTTCCAAAAGACAACATCATCACATTAGAAAGATATAGTAAAGAAAATGATTGACACCAAGAAAAGAAGCAAAATCTGGAACCATTTCAATTTTATTGACAATACATAGGCAGAATGTACAGTCTGCAAGAAAAGGTTATCATATAGAGCCGGCTCCACAAACAGCCTGCACAGGCACCTGAGAACTGTCCACCCATCAGTGCATTGGGAAGATAAAACGCAGTCAGTTGAGTGTGATAGTAATTCTGCTGCCCTCAGGTGAATGTATGGCTATTCACCCTATGCAGCGAGCTTAACATAAGAGGAGATGGTTCCAGGAACAACAAGACACATCGCTTTGTCTTTGTGTCTTTAACTGAAGACCGTTTTTTCCTCTTTTAATTTGTAAGACTGTGAACATACAGTAAAATAATACGTAAGCATAAGTATTGACATATTTTGTAACCAAAAACAAGTTAGCAACATAGCTTTTCTTATGCTTTACATTCACCATAAACATCTTTCCTTTATACGTTCAAATAACCTTTTAAGTAACATGAAAGTGACAAATCATACAGAAAATAAAGCTCAACAAACTCCCCAACGATGTAAACTGGGCTTAAAGTTGTGCAGCTTGTTTTCTGCTCCATGCATTTTCTCCAGTGTTGCCAACTCCTCAGTAAGGAAAATCGCTATTGGTTGTCCTAAAAGTCGCTAGAAGTCGCTAAATGACGTCATCGCCTAATTTGCATAATTGGTCATGCTAATCTAATTGTAACCTATGTTGTTGCAGAGAGAAATAACATCGTGGAAGAGACATAAAGTGAGTAAAAAAACGTCCCAAATGCATTTAAAGTTTATTTAGAACTACAAATTAAATTTCTTTTAGCAATTATTGGTTTTTTTAATGTCACAATTCCAACCCTGCTCCTTTACCCGGGCTTGGACCGGCAAAAGTGACCCGAAATAGGCGCTCTGGTGGAGTTACTTTGTGTGTGTGTGTGTGTTTATAAGTAGTTTTAAACCTTGTGATCCACAAAACAGCATAAGAGTAAAAGAAGAACTGACTGCGTTACAGCACCCGCTGCTTGTTGAGAGTAAAAGCGATACGCGCTTTCACGTCTTTTTTTAAGGGGTCTGAAAACTCGCTAAATATAGCGACAAAGTCGCTGAGTTGGCAACACTGATTTTCTCACACTGCCTGCGTGAACTTTGCCTGCTGCTTACAACACATCACCAAAGGGGGTAGTGTAGTGCACACCAAATAACTAAAGAAGAAACCACAAACTGAAGGGGTAATACTGCCCACTATTGGGAAACCTGAGAAATGCGCCAGCCAAAGAAACCCAGTAAAGCAACAACAGAGGGGCAGAATAGTAATAAAGATGCCAGTGTGTCTACTACATCTCCAACTGTTGCTGCTGCTGCATCTACAGCATCATGCAGTATACTAGTGATGCGCGAATCATGAACAAATCTTTCAATACTCGAGAATCACTTTACTGACTCATGAATCATGATTCACAAGCCCAACTGACTCACTGACTCATCCCTGTTGCTGTTAGCAGCAATATACCTAGCTTATAATTAAAATTGTGGAGAAAAACACAACATCCAGTATCTTAACAAAAAAACTTCTGCTCTGAACTGGAAGAAAATACCCTGAGTAGAAGCTCACATCAAGACAATAGCTCCTTGGTTCACAGTAGCATCGCTCTGCTAACATGCTAACAGCACATTTGAGCTACTCACTCCCTCCGTTCTGTACTGAATCATAGAGCAAACGAATCACTCAATCACTCACTGGCCCTTTCGCAATTCTAAGTACGCAAGTACGTACTCGCGTTCTCGGCGAGAACGGACTTACCGAGAACACGAGCACGGACTCGCGATTTGTATAATTGGAACACCAACGTACTTGATGATGTCACAAGTCCGGAGTTTTTACTGCTGTCCCCTCTTAATTTAACTGTAAGAAATATGTTATGAAGCTTAACTTTAATCACAGCCAAACTGATTTACTCAGGAACAAATAAAACACTGAAATAAACCTAACATTAACATTTAGAAGTGATCATGTTTAACCTCAATAGCGAAATCTCTATTAATAAAAATAGTGTACTTGTATGTCTTAATAAAAACAAGCAGGTGAGATGTTAGAACACTTTTATTTTTATTTTAGTGGACACTCAATACAATAGACAGCTGCTGGGGTTTGGGGTTTGTTTAACCTGAGTAGTTGAAAACGATGTGCCGGGAGTCCGCTGTTCTCGTCGGCTCTAGTGATCCTCGCCCTCGCTATCTGCTGTGGAGCTGGTGGGTCACATACGTCTCCGAAAATGTCAGAGCACGTTTGGAAATATATGATATCTTGATAAATCGAGCAGATATTTGAAGCTTACACAGCTACATTCTCGCTTGAAAATAACTTAAAAGTTTATTTTGTGACCCAGAAACAGTAATATTTAAAAGTTTTTAGCCCCGCTTGTCCACCATTGCCATGTTTGAGTTTTGGACGAGTTTTGCTGCACCCCTTTTACTAGAACTTCCTTTAAAACTATGAATTATTTTTGGAGGTTTGAAAACTTGTAGTGAATACATTCATACAATTTAAATACAACTATCACAATATTTGAAAATATAAATAATGTAAATGTAAAATAAAATAATACAAAATAAAACATTTACTTTATGTTGATATTCTGTTAGTTATGTCAACGACAGACAAAACTAATGACAGACATCTTGACCTGGCATAGGTTCAATTGTCCTGGTAAGGCATGAAAGTGAACTGCTCCCAAACAGAATATTTTTTCTGAAATCTCTACACCATAAATACATTCCTGTTTTTGTCTTTTCTATATGTCAGCTATGAAAATGGTCTATACATGAATAACTAAGTTTTGTCTTCTATATTAGATAATAGAAACTGGTATAAATTATAGGGTTTGTCTTCTTTTTAAGAAATTGTTAAGATATTCTGT